AAAAAAAAAAGGTGCTACAAAATAGAACTGTATATTTCTACAATTACTTAGTCGGATCGGTAATATTTCCGGCGAGAGATAACTCGTCTTTAATCAGTATACTCACAAAATCCGTCACCTTTTCCGTTTCCTCTTCGCCGGAAGCGCCGCTCTCTGCCGGTATCACACTTTCCTCATGACCGGGAGAAGGCGAAGGAGTGTAGTACGGCGTCTCTGCTTCCACCTCATTGACGGCAGCTAGAGCGGCTTCACTCAAAGCCATAGCCGTCAACGCATCTCCTAAAGTCCAGCGGCTCTTGGATTCAGTTTCAACAGAATACTCACTACTGTCCCTTCCTTCTTTCTCCTCTTCCTTTATCGTGTACAGAAGCCTGGAGGATACGTACAAAGCCTGCAATTTTTCCAAATCATCGTCGTCGTCATCATCATCATCCTTAGCCGCCTCGGAATCTCGAGATACATCCATAAGGGCTGGCGGGGTTGCGGAGGGCTCCACTTGAGAGGACTTGTTCTTCCAGCAGAAGAAGTAAAGGAGCTCCTTAGACGGCAAGTTGAAGGTGGCTCCAGACATGCGGGAGCCCTCGCTGCCGCTAATGTTCTGCTCTCGGAACCTTCTGCGCCACCAAAGAACGTATATTAACTCCGCCATGAGAACACAAAAGCACAAGGTGAAGATTGCAGTGAGCACAGCTGGTAGCTTCGTTAAAGCATTCATGACTAATTGTAGTTTGTCTTTGTTCGACTTCAAAATAACAGGTGGACCATGGATGGGGGTTGATGGAGTTGGGGAGTTTTTCTTGGGAGGAAGAAAATGATGGGAATTCTTCTTGGAAATGTAGGAGGAGAAGATTGAGGTTAAAGAAGGGGTAAATGATGACTTGGAGGCCGAGGGGTGAGATGGATTTGCCTGGTCATTTTAATTATTTTAAGATTTTTCTAACCTATTGTGTCTCTTTTTCATTAATTCGTACCAAAAAAAAAAAATTCAGTTCAATTTCATCAATCTCTTTATTAAAATTATATATGTATTATTAATATTAAAATAAAATTGATTTTATATTTTTTTATACGAATTAAACATCTACTCTACCTTTAAATGGATTAAAGAGAACACTTAGATCTTCGGATCCAATAACGTCAAATCACATTTAAGTGCATTTTCCCATCTCAAGACAACGATTTAAATTGATCCCTTACGAACTTGTTAAAAAAAAAAGAAAAGGATTAAAGGGAAATCTAAGTCCTCTATCTAGCTACAGCTATAGTGACTGGGTCCTCTTTCCTCACCTGTGTAAAGCTGA